TCCATCAGAGGGACACCTGGACAGGTCTCCGGTCCATCAGAGGGACAACGGACAAATGAAACAGCTGGGAGGTTGATCGCAGCCCCATTTCCACTGAACCACTGAACCACTGTTCCACTGCAGTTCAAACATGAAACCAGAACAGAAAAAGTCCAGGAAAATAAAAATAAAGTCGTCATTGATGAGACCAGGTCCGGTTCAACAGAACCAACAGTGAATCAGGATTTATGGGTTTTTACTGCTCAACTTTAAACTGGATTCATTCAGTCAGGTTTTCAGGACCAGAACCTGTGACCCAGTTTCACTCCGGATCAGAACCTCAGGTCTTCATATGAAACCTGAGCCATGTTTGCAGGTTCTACTGGTTCTCCACCAGAAGAACCAGAGACTTCAAAAGACCTGAAGGGTTCTAACCACCATCCATCCATCAATCCATCCATCCATCCATCCATCCATCCATCCAACCAATGATCCAACCAACCTATCGTCCTTCTCGCTATCCATCCAACAACATCCCTTCATCCTCCATCATCCATCCATCCATCCATCCATCCATCCATCCATCTCTCCATCATCCAACAACCATCACTCATCCATCCATCTCTCCATCATCCATCCATCCATCTCGCCATCATCCAACAACCATCACTCATCCATCCATCTCTCCATCATCCATCCATCCATCCATCTCTCCATCATCCATCCATCCATTCCTCTATCATCCATCCATCAATTCATAATCCCTCCATCATCCATCTAACATCATCCCTTCATCCATCCATCCATCCATCCATCTCTCCATCATCGATCTTTCCATTCATAAGTCATTCATCCTCCATTGATCTCTCCATCATCCAACAACCATCACTCATCCATCCATCCATCCATCTCTCCATCATCCATCCATCACACCAACGATCCAACAACCTTTCGTCCTTCCATCATCCATCCAACAACATCTCTTCATCCTGCATCATCCATCCATCCATCTTTCCATCATCCATCCATCCATTTCTCCATCATCCATCCATCCATCCATCCATCCATCTCTTTATCATCCAGCAACCATCACTCTATCATCTATTCATTCATAATCCATCCATCCCTCCATCATCCATCCAGTCATAATACATCCATCCCTCCATCATCCATCTAACATCCATCCCTTCATCCATCCATCATCCATCCATCCATCATCAATCTTTCCATTCATAAGTCATTCATCCTCCATCAATCTCTCCATCATCCATCCCTCCAACCATTAATAATCCATCCATCCCTCCATCATCCATCCTTCCATCCCTCTATCACCCATCCTTCCATTCAAAATTCATTCATCCTCCATTGATCCCTCCATCATACATCCCTCTATCATAAATCCATCCATTCTTAACCCATCCATCCCTTCATCCACCACCCATCCCTCCATCATCCCTCCCTTCATCCATTATCCTTCATCCATCATCCCTCCATCATATTTCAATGTAAATATTAAAACCTGTTTGATCGTCTCGTTCCTCTGCAGGGATTCAAACCATCAACCTCCTTCTGTCTCCTGCAGAGGAATTGTCTGCGTGTTTATGGATTTATGGGAGATTTATTGTTTTACACTGATGAGTATTTATGTGTTGCTGCAGTAAAATCACATAAAAGCCTCAATAATTCTCAGCTTCAGTTTCTTTCAAGTGTTTGATTTTTGTTTTATTGATATTTGAACTTCTGTTTTAACGGCTGCTGACAAATATCTGAAACAAACACGAAATTTAAACATTTTTGGAAACAACTGTTCAAATTGTTGCACTGGACAAAGAAAAATGAAGAAAAATCAATTTATTCATGTGAAAATAATGTTTTATGTCACGTGTGTTTTTCACGGAGGCTTATTGTAAAAATAACTGTAAGTTTATCAGATTGAAATAAAAACAGATAATTGTTCAGAGGCTCGGGTTCTGCAGCAGAACAATCCAGAACCATCTTCATCCTGAAGAACCAGGAGACCTGGGGATCCTGCAGATCGAGGTCCAGAGGAGGCTGTAGGATCTGAACCATCTGGACCACAGGAGATCCGTGGATCCTTGTCCAACATGCAGAAACTGAGTAACTTTTAATTTGTGCAAAATATCAGCAAAGTTTTATTAAATGGTGCATTTAAGGAAGCTCCGTAAAAAAGAGCGTCGCTCTCCTGAGCTCCCACAGTGTGGGTTCTGTTAATGATCCTTCAGGATCAACTGATCCACATTATTTAACCAGAACAAAGTCTGAACCAGAAGGAAAATCTCAGTGATGATTTAAATAAAAGTAAATAAAAAAATCTTTAAATCGTTTGACCGTCAGAATAAAACATGGAAACAAAAGAAGAATTGAAGGTTTGGGGCAGTTTATAAAATGTATGATGACATCATGTAGATCATGTGACCTCTGATCTGTTTCCTGTCACCTGTCCACAGGTGAACCATTAACCTGCTGCCGGCTGTAAAGCTTCACTTTATGGAGGGATGATGATGATGGTGGGTCGTAAACGATGAAGACGAGGGTCTGAACCATCGACATGTGTGTTAACTCAGGACCAGACTTCCTGCCTGCTCCGGCTGTTGGGAACTGAAACCAGCACGACCCGGCTGCCATGTTGGATTTTTGGAACCAGAGTCTGTGCACTAAAGATTGAGCTTTAAGCCCCGCCCACTCCCCTCACATGCAAACATAGTGTCACATGACCGCTCTTTGGCGCACAAATAACTAAATATAATTAAATGTGTCACAAAAATGAATAAACAAAAACAGGACCCCATGAAAAACAAGCTTTTATTTTTATTTAAAACAAGTTTAATCTGTTTTCACCTGTCCAGGTGTCCCTGTGATGGACTGGAGACCTTTCCAGGTGTCCCTGTGATGGACTGGAGACCTGTCCAGGTGTCCCTGTGATGGACTGAGACCTGGGTGTCCAGTCTTGCACCGACTACTGGACATGAGCTCCAGTGACCCAGAAAACAGGAAGAGGGGATGTTTACATTGAGGGGGCGGGGCTTAAGAACATGTGCTGTACCATCCTGTGTGGGTGTGTGTGTGTGGGGGGGTGTGGGGGGGGGTACATTTCTGTGTTTCAGGCTCTTTGGTGATGTTGGGTCACTGGAGGATTTTCAAAATAAATGTTTAATTTAGGATCCTGAAAAAAAGGACTTCAGCTGCTGCGACACGAACATTAAAAACAAAAACAACTTGTATTTATTTATTTTAATAATAAGTTTTCTGACAGAGAACTTCTGTTTTTAGTGAAAATCAGTTTACATCAAAATAAAGACCATGATGTGCCAATTATTAGTTGGGACGGTTGTATTAGATGTTTGGGCCGCAGGACGTCTTAACAAGACCCAGTTTGTGGTTCCTCAGGGCTCCATTCTTGGACTTTTGTTCTTCGCTGTTTTTTTTTTTATTTTCAAATAAAAAACTTCTTAAATATTACTGATAACTTGAGAAGCTCAACGTTACTTCTGAAAGCTACCCAACTATTTGAATACAATAGGAGCTGTGTATATTTCTGTACGTTTGTTATAGAATTGTTGTGAATAAGTCATTTATTTGTTAATGTTTCAATGATCCAATTAAATAAATTCTGAATGCTCTGCTGCCCCCTGCTGGTTCTTGTTATGAACAGCTGGGACCAGAACCACAGCCGGACCAGTTCAGGGTCCAGCCTCATGTCAAACTTGAAGGTTCAGCTGAATCCTTGTCCAGTGTCTCGTCTCGTAAGTTCCTGAAACAAGACTCGGTTCATCTCCCGAGGGGCTCTTTGGACTTGGGCTGAGTTTTCTGTCTCGGACTCCTCAGAAGAGTCTGACCTTTGACCCGACCCATTTTAGATCCGAGTGAGTTCTGTTGCAGACGTGAAGAAAGCAGACAACAGCAGGTTCTGATAGTTCGTTTCAACTTTAATAATAAAAACTAAAATAAAAATCTGAAAATAAAAAATACATGGCCAAACAATACACTGAACTGATTATGAGGATAATCATGGTCGCTGATACAGTAGAAGAAAGAAGAGTCACCATATTAATATTAATAATAATAATAATAATAATCAGAAGCAGAATAATAATCAATAATCAATGATCTGTTTCCTGGGGCCACAGATCACTTCCTGTTTCAGAGGTGATGTGAGCGCCGCACAGGCCGGGCGTGGCACTTGTCAAAAGATTTCACACGTAGCAGAGTTAGCCCAGAGATGCACAGCAAGGGAGGACAGAACCAGAACCAGAACCAGAACCAGAGCGCTCTGCTGAGCTGCGAGGAGGAGGACTCGACCCGGAGACGTCAGAACATTCTGCATCTCCTGAAACGAGGACGAGTCCAAACACCTGATTGACTGGAAGGGGGCGGAGCTTAACAGATTAAAAGAGTCGACGGACGGTCGAGATGAAGAGGAGGAAGGAGGGAGGGGGACTCTGGTGCGGTCCGATCAGTTCTGACGGGCCGACTTTGTTCATCTGAAGCGTCTTTGATGAAACGACAGAGACGAGGAGGAACCAAGCAAACACGTCAAAGACCATCCAGAACCAGAACCTTCAGATTCTGTTCCGAGGCTCAGAACAAAGCCCGGAGAACCGAGAGCTCAAAATAAAGTTCTGACGTTCAGACCTGATCCGTTCAGACCTGATCCGTTCAGACCTGATCCGTTCAGACCTGATCCGTTCAGACGATCCGTCAACAGAACAACAAGTTACTGAATTAAATGTTTTAAAATCGTTTTCTTTGTTCGAACTGAACGCCGTCGCAGCAACGATCGACCCGTTCAACAAGTTCTGGTCCAGCTGCAGCGCGACCCGGTTCAACTCGGGTTTCATTCAGTTGGTCTGAGTTGAAACGACCGGTTTATAAAAACAGAACCAGGATCAGCTGAAGGTCCAAACGGCTCCGAGTCTGTGGAGGTTCTGGTTCTGGTTTAACAAAACGCTGAGATCTCCGGACTTTATGAAATGATTGAAATCGCTTTTTATTCCTCGCGTCGTGACTTCCTTTGATGTTTTGGAGGAGATTATTTTACTAACAGTTTAGAAACATTTGATCCAAATCAACATTTTATTCTTTCTTTGTTTGTTTGTTTTAAAGAACTCTGAACAGAAAGTTGGAAATAAAAGTTTTTGGAGCTGATGATCGAGGAGAAACGAGTTCCTCAAAAATATTCACTTAGTTTCATTATCTGAAGAAAACAGGAGGAGCAGGAGGAGCAGCAGGAGGAAGAGGAGCAGCAGGAGGAGGAGCAGGAGAAGGAGGAGGAAGAGGAGCAGCAGGAGAAGGAACAGCAGGAGGAGGAGCAGCAGGAGGAGAAGGAACAGCAGGAGGAGGAGCAGGAGGAGGAAGAGGAGCAGGAGAAGCAGGAGGAGGAGGAGCAGGAGGATGCTGGTGAGATTCAGTGGGAGGAAACAAAAACAAAGATGGCTCCTCTGAACTGGCGGCTCAAACTGATACAGATCTGTTTCAAATATAGATTCTCTTTGTACACGACAGCGACCGACAAACATTCAGAAGCAACGCAGCGAACCCTCTGCTCTAAGCCCCGCCCACTGGCTGCGTTTCCCGCCTTCAGACAAACACGACGACAGAAAGATGGCGGCTGAAGCAGGAGGGGAAGAACGGCGTCCCGTCGTGCCCTCGTCCAAACGCTCCGCCGGGGAATGTAACCGTGTGTGTGTTTCTGTGTGTGTTTCTGTGTGTGTTTGTTTCTGTGTGTGTGTGTCTGTGTGTGTGTTTCTGTGTGTGTGTGTCTGTGTGTGTGTATCTGTGTGTGTGTGTCTGTGTGTGTGTGTGTGTGTGTGTCTGTGTGTGTGTGTGTGTGTGTGTGTGTGTGTGTGTGTGTGTGTGTGTGTGTGTGTGTGTGTGTGTGTGTGTGTGTGTCTCTGTGTGTGTGTCTGTGTTTGTGTCTGTGTGTGTGTCTGTGTGTGTTTCTGTGTGTGTGTCTGTGTGTACGCGTGCGTGAAGCGGGCGTGCAGCCTCGGCGAGCTCCTAGCAGTCCTCATCCTTGTCGTCTACGACGCCTTTGAGCCGCAGGCGAGCGAAATCCTCGAAGACGAAGTCATCGTCCTGAGAGATGCTGCTGAGAGACGCAGAACAACACCTCCATCACTGCTTCATCACTCCTCCATCACTCACTCACTCACTCCTCCATCACTCACTCACTCCTCCATCATCACTCCATCACTGCTTCATCACTCTTTCCACCATCACTCACTCATCACTCCTTCATCATCACTCCTCCATCACTCACTCACTCCTCCATCATCACTCCATCACTCCTCCATCACTCTTTCCACCATCACTCACTCATCACTCCTCTATCACTCTTTCCACCATCACTCCATCACTCCTCCATCACTGCTTCATCACTCACTCATCACTACTCCATCACTCACTCATCACTACTCCAT